CATATTCATCTTAATTTAGAACATGTTCATCTAAATTTCATCTGTGAAAATGTAACCTTTTCATCTTATTTTATGACATGTTCATCTTACTCTATAACATGTTCATTTTACTATATAACATATTCATTTAATTATAATTTATGTCATAATCTTTCAATAAGATAAAGTAATTGTAAAAAATGATAAATTAATTGTGTTCCAAAAAATATCAAATGTGGTTTCTATTTGTAGAGAATGAAAAATTATAAATTTTGGTATTTTTATTTTTATTTTTTAATACAAAATATGAATGATAATTTAATTTATATAAAATGATATATGAATTTCATCATCCAATAGAAATGGGACACATGTCCCTTTTAAAAAAAAATGTCTTTGGTAGAAGAAATTGAGCCCCATTTTTGTCTTACCTCTCTCTGCGCGTGAGCTAAAAAAAATTGGACAACAATTTTAATTTAAAGTCACTCTCCTTTGTTTTATGTGAGCTCACTCTCGGCCCTGGCACACCTAGCAAGGTGTGCCAGGGCACACCTAAATATTTGCGACATATATGCATTTTTGTGACAGTTACATGATTGAATACAAAACAATCTCAAAAAATTTAATTATTTTTAACCTCTAACTCAACATTAATTATTTTTAACTATAACTCAACATTAATTCAACGCCACTATCATCAATATTTTATTGTAATTAAATAATATCAATCAATCATTCTTACACAACACATCATTTTGAATTCACTATTAGTACTAATATCCATGTACTACATGGGTGTTGAGTTAATGAATATATGTGTAAAGTTATTTATGTCTAATACTAAACCTAACTCCAGAGCAAAAATAATATAAAAACAAAATCACGAAACATAGATTTTCGCCATATCAGCATCCGAAGCGTGAGAACACGTTTTGAATTAATATATAGAGAGAGATTCATCATCTCACATAAGTTTAACTAACCAACACTTCAACTTCTGTCTTACTTTTAACATCAAATCAACTTTCATTATTTTAATCTAAATGTTATTTTAATATACCATGTAACAACTAACCATACCATATTTTTAAAAATTAACTAAACTAAATCAAAAAATCCAAACAAAACAAAAAAATTTTATATCCAAGCATCCTACAATTTTATTTCCCTATACCATATTTGTTGGCTTTGCCATACGCAGTGGTATACTGTCAACTGCTTCGCATCAATGTCCCAAATTTGAAATTCAGCTAGAGCAAACATGACCGCTAGAATCTTGTCTGCTCAATGTTTTCTCCAAGGAACACCTTGTATTCCACGCGCCGGCGACTCTTCATCAAGTTCGTCATCCCCGCGAAGCCAACTTTCGGCTCCCTCGCCACCGCCCCAGCTTCTCCAACCGGCCCGTTTTCCGGGCACCACCAGTTCATCACTAGCTCCGATGAACGGGTACAGACGCAGGCCCGCCTTCCGGCGAACTATGGTCGGACGGCTGGAATCGCATTCGCATCTCAATCGCGCGAGCTCGGGCTTCCCCAAAAGTATGAGCTTTTAATAGAAAAATGCCGGCTTTCTTGTTCGGAGTTCGAGCCAAAACAGGTCCATTCATACATAATCAAGAACGGCATTGGTAATGATCTGTTTGCTGGAAACACGCTCATCAGTTCCTATTTCAGGACGGGGAATATTTCCGCTGCTCGCAGAGTGTTCGATGAAATGCCTGAAAAGAATCCCGTCACGTGGTCCTGTTTGATCTCTGGGTACACTCAGAACGAAATTCTTTACGATGCATTAACTGCATTTAGTGAAATGTTCTCCTCAGGTGTTTTCCCGACCCATTACGCGCTCGGGAGTGCTTTAAGATCCTGTCAGAAAATGGGAACCGGCGGGTTGAGACACGGGATTCAAATTCACGGTTTGATCTCAAAAACCCATCATTCTTTCGATGTGGTCATCTGCAATGTCCTTATCTCGATGTACTCAAACTGCATTGTGGGCCCCGCCGGCTCGATTCCCGCTCGTCGTGTTTTCGACACGATAGCCGATAAAAACTCCGTTTCGTATAATTCTATCATCTCGGTTTACTCTCAGCGAGGGGACGTGGGTCCCGCGTTCGACCTTTTTTCCGAAATGCAGGAGAGTTTTTCGTGGTCTGAATTCGGGCCTAACGAGTATACGTACGGCAGCTTAATAACCGCTGCAAGTGAATCGGTCGATGCCGATGGTGGTTGCTTTTTGCTCAAGCAGCTGCTGGCAAAAATTGAGATGTTAGGACTTATGGAGGATTTATATGTCGGTAGTGCTCTCGTGAGTGGATTTGGAAAGCTCGGTGAGATCGATATTGCGAAAGGCATTTTTGCGAAAATGGGCATGAGAAATGTGGTGTCTTTAAATGGTTTGATGGTTGGATTAGTGAAATTTAAGCATGCTCGTGAAGCAGTTGAGGTTTTCTTGAAAACAAGGGGACTGGTTAAATTTAAACTCAATTCTGATAGTTATGTCCTCCTCTTGAGTGCCCTTGGCGAGTTCTCGTGCTTGGAAGAAGGGAAAAGGAAAGGGAAAGAGGTGCATGGATACGTGACACGGACAGGGATAAACGATTCGAGTGTTTCGGTCGGGAACAGTTTGATTAATATGTATGCCAAATGTCATTCTATTGAGGATGCACGTTCTGTCTTTATCTCGATGCTCGATAAAGATTCGGTCACGTGGAGTTCTATAATCTCGGGGCTCGACCAAAACGAGCGTTTCGAAGATGCGCTGTTGTGTTTTCTTGAAATGAAAAAATTCGGGTTAATTCCTTCGAATTTCACGCTGATAAGCGCTATGAGTTCGTGCGCGAGTCTCGGCTGGATTTGGATGGGAGAGCAAATACATTGCGAGGCGATTAAGTTAGGACTTGATTTAGATGTCTCGGTATCTAATACTCTTCTTACTCTTTATGCTGATACCGGACACATCACAAAATGCAGAAAATTGTTTTCTTTAATGCACGATTGCGATCGGGTCTCGTGGAATTCGATATTACGGGCTTTTACGGACAACAATGAGACGTCAATAATCGAGGCCTCGAAATATTTTCGGCAAATGATGCGATCCGGATGGAGCCCAAATAACGTGACCTTTACAAACATTCTTTCTGCAGCTGCTTCTCTCTCGAATCTTGAACTCACTCGTCAAATTCACTGCTTAGCTTTGAAACACCGATTTACGGAAGATAACATAGTGAAAAATTCTCTGCTCACCTGTTATGGAAAGTGTGGAGAAATAAACGAGTGTGAGATTCTCTTCTCGAGAATGGTTGATAAAGATGAGGTCGCTTGGAATTCGATGATTTCGGGCTATTTACACGGCGAGATGTTGGTGGAGGCCATGGATTTAGTGAAGCTCATGCTGCAAAATGGCCAAAGATTGGATCTTTTCACTTTCGCCACTGTTTTAAGCGCTTGTGCTTCGGTGGCCACACTCGAGCATGGCATGGAAATTCACGCCTGTGCGGTTAAGGCCCGTTTGGCATCCGATGTTGTTATCGGGAGTGCGCTTGTTGACATGTACGCGAAATGCGGGAGAATAGAATACGCGTCCCGATTTTTCGAGCAAATGCCCATTAAAAACGTGTATTCGTGGAACTCCATGATATCGGGCTACGCTCGGCATGGAGATGGGGAGAAAGCGCTCGAGATATTCACGCGAATGAAAATCGAAAACCAACAAAAACCGGATCACGTGACGTTCGTTGGGGTGTTGTCGGCTTGCAGCCACATGGGATTGGTTTTACAAGGTTACGAGCATTTCGAGTCTATGATTAAAGTTTATGGCCTTACCCCAAAAATCGAACATTTTTGTTGCATGGTCGATTTACTCGGCCGGGCGGGCGAATTTAATAAATTAGAGGAGTTTATAAATAATATGCCGATCGAGCCTAGTGTTTTGATATGGAGAACTGTTTTGAGTGCATGTGGCCGGTCGAGCGGCCGAACGCTCGATTTGGGAAAAAGGGCTGCCAAGATGATACTCGATTTAGAGCCGCATAACGCGGTTAATTAT